TCTCTGCTGCAGTTGCGCATATCGAAGCGTTAATATGGCACAGATATCCAAATTCCGTGTCTGATCATCATCAAGTCTGGTCTGTACCATAAGCGTCTCTTTTAATTTTAGTTTATATTTTTCCTAATTGTCTTAATTGATATCTCAATTTGTAGGCTGCTCGAAGAGTACTTCTGAATGGAACGCGCAACTTCAAGTTAGCAACCACCTGTCTAGTTCTATACTGAACACTGAGCTGCAACAACAAAAATCAAACCTATTTATAGAAGGCACATTCGCACATCGACCCTTTTCCTTTCTCATACGACACCTTTTCATATGAAGCTCAAGTCTCCTCAATACCTTGTGGAACCGCTTGTGCCCATAATCACCGCCAAATTACGCTTGAGAATAAAATAATTTCACTGTTGGGTTATATTCCAAGTTCTAAATTTAGTATTATATCTTATATATGATATCTATTACATGTGGAATATATAGATATAGACATGATAGATGGCGGCTTCCAGCATGAAACGAAGTGTGTCTACACCCCGGGTCTCTCTCTCTCTCTCTCTCTCTCTCTCTCTCTCTCTCTCTCTCCAAGAGTACAGTGACTTACATTTTCAAGACGCACACCCGAGTACAGCTATAACTGTGCCGTTGATAGTAAAGGCGTCAAAAATCATTGTCACTATTCGTATATTTCCAATGTCGCTTAATGAATCGTATACTTCTTGTAAACCTAAGTCTTCTCTAAACCTGTCTCCCGGCTGCAAATTTAGCTATCGGCCTTAATAAAATGAGATCGATTTCTATCAAATACGATTGGTCTATGTTTCACAAAAATTCACTTTAACCTAATACTGGAATATGCGAACAAGGATCAGTTCGACAGGTTATGGTACGCTTAGTGTTCAACACACTTTTACTATAATTTTTATAATTGGGGTACTTGAAATAGTTGGGGCTTAGTATAGTTAGAAGCGAGTTTTCTTTGATCCCTACTTATGGGGCCGTATGGTTGGGGCCTTAGGCCACGATGTCTGCGGTTCTAATCCTTTGCTGAATAACATTATACGTTCAATTCGAACTATAATAATAATAATAATTACATTTCTTTGAACAAAAAGAACATCCAACATTACAGTTATCCGGCTTAGTGTTCATAAGTGCTATTCGAAATTTTCGATATGGATTCGGTCGCTCAAAAGTGGGGTAATGGAAGAGAGGGGTTGCTGCGTTTTCTCCAGTACACAGGCTAGTGAGGTCTTAAAAAGCCTCTGAACATTGTCAAGAAGATTGATATAGATTATGAGTGTTCTGCCTGTTTTTAAATGTTTGAAGATTCTACTAGTTGTGGTGTGTTTTGGTTAATATTATATTTGGTTGTCACTTCTACACAAGATCCTTCGTACCATAATATATTTTGTAGTTATAGTCGAGGAATGAATTTTTCAATACATTTTGCTCGATATTGTTGCAAAAAAAAATATCTACGGTTATTTAACCATATATATATAACGAGTGGAAGCTAAATATCTAATAAAAATTGACGCCATTGAAGGTTAAAAGATGACCTCGCTGTCCCTCTCATCTCACACAATGCAGCTCAGTCCATCATAACTAATCATAAACTATTGGTGCTGTGGGGTTTTTCTCACTGATCAGACATTGTCAGCGACACGAAACCAGAAAATACCACAAAAGAGATGTCAAAGTGTGTACAGAAGGAAAATGACCGAAAAAAAAAAAAAAAGATAGAACAATAAAAGCTTTGAGTTAGCTAGCGGCCCTTGCCTTGTAAAATAGTTTCCTAACAGTTTGTGCAAGTTTATTAGATTGCGGTAGAATAGGCTCGTCACGAAGGCCGTTTTTTTTTTTTTTTTTTTAGTGTTACAGTCATCCCATTCACAGTACTAATAGGCAGTTATAAGAAAATTACTTGGATATATGTGTTTGTGTGTGTATGTATGTGTAGCGTGAACGTGGCAAGCTGACGTTAGATAATACCGATTATGCGAGGGATTTGTCCAGCATAATTGAGATATTTTTTTTAGAAGTATTTGCGTTTATGTTAATCGGTGGTAAAGGTACGCAAATGTCGTCACACGCGTGGGCTGCTCGCTACGCTCTAAATCAAGAGACGGAAAGCCTCTCAGTGTGTTTATTATTATTTATGGCACCTAGATTATGGAATCAATAACATGTTCAGTATGATGGTAATCTCCAACGTTGAACTCTTATTGTTAGCTTAGCGGGCTCGCATTATTAGCAGACTATTTAGCGGTTCGTTTGAACTGAGCTGAATAGTAAATAGGATAAAACATAACGGAGGCATTATTTTTATATAGCGCTAGGAATGTGTACGCAACAAATACTATCTATCTGGTATTATCTTGCTACCTTTTCCGATATCAGCTAAAGTGGGTTCGATGTTAGATTCGTTTATGGCGTAACTGCATAAAGCTATGTAATCAGTTCGACCATCATTATTGTACTGGATATTCGTACTAGATATATATCTAGTAAGATAGTTTACGATCGTGTGTTTGAATCGTCTTTTGATCCTCGTGTTAACATCCGATACGCTCCCATCGGTCAGTTGTCTCTAACTGTTAGCAGTTTAATTTTTTTAAGCTTCTAGGTAATTATTAGACCGGTCGAGAAAGCAAGCAACGTACGTGAAAAGACCGATCCTTTCTCAGAAACTTCTTCAACAAGCCATGTAGTTCTTAATCCCTCCTAGTTCACGATAGTCTTCCCTGCACTCCAATATAGAGCGAATCGTTAATTTTTTCAAATTGTTGTCCAGTAGTAATTGTTGAGATTGTTCTCAAACATGTCTTTTCTTTTTTATCATGACCATATTAGTCATTAAATCAAAGCTAAATTGAAAATTTATTCGAGACAGACGTATTTCCGTTCACGTTGATCGGCGACAAAGATACGCAAATATGCTTATGTTATAAAAATATCATTAGAAGCATCTTTGAGATAACTGGCACGTACGGTTATGTTCAGTTGATCTCGAAAACGATTCGAACGATTTTTCAGATCAACGAGGAGACGTTATGGGAAAATAAATAGCCCATCAAAAAATGCTTAGGCTAAGAATTTTATGGATCTTTTTTCCACACTCTGATATAGACGGTGTTGAAGTGGCACATATTCGGACATTTTTTTTTTTCAGCAATGACTTAAAGCTTGTAAAACTTCTAAATATGCTTAATTTTCAGAGCGGTACGCTTTAAGATCTATGTATGGTGTTTCTCCAGGTAACGACGAAGAAATCGAAACCAAGGAAATTTCACTTGTTTGGTTTTTACCTATCAATCTACTTCTTCTTATATAGTCGTGAAAGTTTCACCTCGAGATAACGAGTCAATGTGACCACGAGCAGAGTGACGGACGGCTAGTTGCAATAAAAGAATAAGTTTATTGACCTAAGGGAAAACATTTCTTATAAGATTATGGAGTACCTAGTACGTTACGGTGAAATATCTGAATCAAGTGACCGCGCGAGCAGTCAACGTGACGTTTCATGCAATTCTTACAAGAATTATGTAATGAGCTTACTGAAACAGGGTGATGGGAGAGCTGAATAAAGAAAATTGCTTTGGAACCACAAGGATAATTTCGGCATGGTAACTACATCATTGCTTTCAAGTGTAGATTCAGGACATGCGGGTCTGAACCCACTTGAAGTTAGGCTACGGAAATAACAGCGTTCAGTTAGAGTGTCCGGTATTTATGTTCAATGCGAATCAAGGATGAAAAATATAACAAGGAATAGACAAAAATTCTGGGTGTCTCCGGATGAAAGTGGGCTGATGCTGTACACGTATGTTGCTGTTTGCTATAACATAAATTAGATAATTACAGGCACTCCATCGTGATCTCACAGATGTCCATATCTTTCGGAGTAAAAATAATAACAAACAGATGGAACCTGTTATAACTGTTACAGTGCCGTAGGAGAGGGATAATTGAGAAAATTATCGTTACCAAGCCTAATTCGCTTAACTACTGCTTCTCTGATAAAATCGACATCTATATAACGTAAGCCATTAATCATATTATTATTATTATTATTATTATTATGATTTTTCACAATATATAAATAGACACAATAGAAATTACACTATCTTAAAAACAGTAGTGGTAAAGATTTGAAGTCATCGCTTAACGTTGAAACCATAGATGCTAGCCAATTATCTTGAAACACCTATATATATATATATATATATGTCCAAGTTTTGTTCGTTCAAAATCTACAAAATCTTGCAAATGTGGTTTACATATTGAGCTTATTTTTCTGGAAACGGTAACTTAAAGCTGCGCGCCGCTGTATAAAATGGTCTAATATCTGCTTTCAAACGTATTTGCAGTACTTAAGTCGCTATATAAAATTACTTTTGATGGTCCCCACTTGAAGAACAAATGAGTCCCAGGGTTTTTGGGCTAAGTTGATGAAGTATTTTCCGTACGAGAATGGATACCTGCAGATACGCGGTTACCAAAATTTATTACCAAACTGGAACATTTTAAGATTCTGGTGAAAATATTAAGCCTTTTGAGAATACGAGGCCGATTGAAAATGGTATTGATTGTCTTTATTGCACAGAATATACAAGCGCTTTGGCCAACAAACGCGTAGTGCTTATATATTAGAATAGTAGCACTGCATAATATTTTTATTTGAATTAATTAATAAATATTAGTTAATTAATAATAAAAATTAATTAATATATAATAATAACTTAACTCGAAACAATAGAGCCCCATTTAATTTAAGGCAATAATTAGTGACACTTTTAATACGTCTTGCAAAACTTCGGGGCCTCGTCTCACAATGCCTGCGTAAGCTAGTTGACTGTTATAGCAGAATAAGTACATTCAATATTGCTCGTTCTCAAACCTCTCGATGTTTCACAATTAAAGAAAACAAACACAGATTGTTGAAAGATCATAATAGTCTGTCGCTCACGGTTAAACGAAGTGTATAAGTTCCATCTCACCTTGCTACGTAGAAGGGTTTGATCAGCCTCACTATTCCGCTATGACCAAACAAAGTATTGCCACTACACTGAGTCTCTTTCTATACGTGCTCTGTCATTCGCTTGTGACTTACGCTCACACTCGAACACTTAACGTGACTTCACGCGACGAGGCGTGAAGTCCTAAATGCAACGAGCAGGTGAATTACTAGTAGTCCTAAGGCACACGGGCACTAGTGCCAGATTCAAGTTGAAGAAAGAACAAATCAGCAAATGGCACAGACCATCACGACGACCAACACCCGGTCGCACTAGGATCCTTCAATAGAGACCCAGGGACAGGGGAGCCAACTACAACGAAACTTTTTGCAACCCCAAATGTGCACAGCTGGCGGTTAAAAGAACGGATCTAGGATTTAGATCAATGCGCACACCAGTCTGCTTCAGAACGGAAGTGACGCTAGTTCAGCTGTTGCTTCTGGGCTCTTAAGTGATTGTCGCTACAGATCTTGTGCTTTGTTAACACTGCTACAACATCGGATTGATGATTTTCCAAGGATAGTCGCATTCGTCTAGTAGCCAGTCTGTGGCCGCTGTCTTTGATGCTCCTTGGCGCTAGGCGCTGATCGACGGTCTGAAGCGAATACGCGTTGAAAGAGGGTCAAGAAAGTGGCGTTACTTATGGTGATGATGGCAGCTATGAAACGAGTGGCTTAAGACCATATAAGAAGGACGGTACAAACCGAGCTGCACTGAAAAATAACTACGAGTCACTTCCAGTTTCTATCAGTCTAATGCCTTTGCTTTGTAGCGGAATGGTTATTCTCTCCACATCGCTTTACTGTGTGTGTACAAGATATGGCCTATGTAAAGGGAACATTTTTATCTTGCCTTTACTTGTATCGACTGTAATCGTTGGTAAATTCGGGTTAATTTTCTAGCATATTATATTAAATAATAAAATAAAATCTCTATTGAACCCACAAAGCACACTTCTCAGAGGTGTCGATTGTTACGCTGCAGTTATAAAAATTTAATAATGTAAAATTTTTGTACATCAAAGCTTCTATCTATTAACATTTAGAATGGATTTAATTTGGATTAATTAAAAGATAATGGATTTACTTTCCGAGAGCTATATTCGCTCGTTGTTCAGAGGAAGTCCCTCGTCTCCTTTGATGAACCAACAAGTCAAGTATCAGAGACAATTCACTTGGGAAAGTCTGACATTATATATGAAACAATAAATAATTGTTTAGCAAATTCAGCAGGTTATGATAGAAGTGCATCTCGAACTTTTAACTTAATTACATAAAATTGAAGTAATGTAAAGTAACTGTAAGCAGAACATCAGTGATTATTTAAGTTGTGAATGCATCTTTTGGAAGTGAACGAATCCACTATTTAGTGAGCATATATGTTAGCTTTGTTCAAAGTTGCCATATTTACAAAATGTAACTATTTTTAACACCGAATTGGATACCCTGTCTTTTAAAAGTTCGGACATCTCGTCGGTAATAATGATATGCGCTGGTCGTCAAAGGCGTGGTAAAACTAGAGAAGTGCAGCTTATGAAGAAAAATTAGAAAACGAAAGGTTCAAGTGATAGCAAAGTAATTATACAACTTGGCAAATGCCTTCGTTTCCTATAATATTCTAACTTTTGCTTATACCATAAAACGGCCAAGGAACAAACGCGAGTCCTCTATTCTATGGAAAATCATACTATAATTAGTATTAATAATAGCAGAGGTAATATTAATAACAAGAATAATATAATGGTGTTTCGGGAAAACGTTGACCGTTTTTCTGACGTATCTCAGGTAGTGTGAATTTCGGTAAATTGACATTACTATCATGTGAAAGCTGACGTTTTAGTAGAGTGTTTAATTTGTTTGAATATCTTCTTTAAGATAAAGCACCATGAAGATGAGTAGACTTTCGTTACGTTCCACAAGTTTCTTACGATAATGGCGCAAATACTGTCCGGACCCGTAGAAAAAAAATCTGTGCTATTTATAATCAAAACGGCTTATCGGAAGAACCGGCCCAAAGACGGTTCTGTTGCTTTTATTCTGGGAACTTCATCGGGAAAAATCAATGAAGTTCTTACAAAAGTTAGGCAAGAGTAACACGTGAGTGGTCGCGATATCGCCTAGAAGCTAAGCATCCGCAAGCGAACAGCTTTTAAGTGCTTTGAAGAAGGTCAGCTGCAAAAAAGCTCGTTGATTGGGTGCCACACGAACAAATATGCTTGGTTGCATTTTCATCTGCGGAACCCTACAGAAATATAACGAAACCAAATTACTTCTAACATTGAATTTCTTGTTCATTGATGATGAACAGTGAATCACAAACGTAAGTAAAAAAAAAAAACTAACAGATAGGCTGTAAAATTTATGGCAAATTTCGGACTACCGCCAAAAAGACGGTACTAGGTGTTCGTGAATTGTGAGTTGTTGCTATAGCCTACCAAAACGATGGATACGGACTTTTACTGTCTATAAAATTGCAACAAGCCATTGAAAAGAATCAATTAGCGAACGCAAGAGGTGTGTTTTTTGCCACGGCAAACTGTCAGACCATGTATATATAGTTACTCCCCACAAGTTAAGGAATCTTGAATAGGAAATTTCAATGCATCTGCCGTATAGCCTAAATCTTATACCGTCACTTAGGTTTCTGTAGAACTTCTGTTAATTTAGCTTCAATGATGGGCTACAGAAATTACTTGTCACAATTTTTTCGCTCAGAAAGCATAGTTCTCCGTTATATATATTACTGCCGAAAGCCTAATTATAAAATAAGGTCGGCAAGCTTTGTAATTACAGCCTAACAGACTCTTCGTTCACGTACTTCGTGCTGACGAAACAAGTTTACTCTTATTGTGCATAATAAATAAATTACTCTGGATTCAGATAGACATATGGACCGGTTCATGCGGACACAGTAACATTTCACCCCATCTTGTCAAGATAAATGGTTCCCTGCTTTACAATAGTAGCTCTCATTTATATGCAAAGTAATGAAACGCCTGCCGTATATTAGTGTATATTTCAGTAAACAATACGTTGTTTGGCGTGAAGAAAAAGCTTAAAGTATTGGATGTCGTTGCATTTTGGACTTATTTAACTGACAAATAAACGTGGGCTCCGACAGCCAGCTGTTTCGGGTCAAGAGCAAAAGCCAATGTGGTAGACAAAGACTGTAAAATCTAGTAACGTTTTATTTATTCAGATTATCATTACCGTTATCGTACATTTGAAACGAGTGCTGAATATCAAGCTTGCACAGATAGAAGCAGACTTTACAAAACGAGTACTAGTATCAGACCTACAGAGAAGTCACAGAAAAATCATTGTAGCAGAAGTATATGAAGTTGTGTGTATTTTTGTAGCGTTGTAGTTTGCCCAAGCCCACATTGTCGTACTACCTACAAACCCGAGAATCCCTGAAAATCGGCCTTAGCTTGGAGGTGGACATATTATAAACGATCTGCGCATATCTCATTCCATTATAAATACGATAAGCAATAATATCCTACTCATTGATGTAAAGAGTAAAGATATTTCCATATCAGACGGTAACATCTGAATTCGGTGAATAGCTGATTTAGACAAGAATTAAACGTTTTTTGTACAAAGATTTGTTCAAAAAGGAGGTTATTCGAGCAGTGAGATACAGCCTGATATCGCGTATTAGCTGTTTGTTTCTTTTATGTACATTCATTTTGCGATTGTGTTATGTTTCTTTTGAAACATCGTTGCGTCGTCTGCCATCTATAAAAAAATAGAGCTACTACGATCAAATTCACGAAAGGAACAGTCCAAACTATTTGCGTCGTATAAACGTCCATATGCAATTATGTTTTATAATTTGCTCTATAATCAGTATCGATTCGTTGTAGGTCGTCGTACGGTAGAAATGAGCCTCAAATGTTTGTCCTTATTCCACGTATCCTCTTTTGAACCTAAGGAAATTTTAGCCTGCATAATCATCGTGGTAGCGCCATCGTCTCAAGAAATACCAATAATGCAGAACCCGAAAATGTGTACGTGCCGTACTAGTAATTCAATCAACACCTCTATCTCGCGTCATTCAAGCAAAAGGATCACGAATAGTATCGAACGGTAAATAGATGTGCGGCGTTGATCGAGGTTTATTTACGTTCCGAGAGTAGGTTCCATTGGTTATGTCCATTTCGTAACTACCGCGTTCCGTAAAGCTGGTGTAAATATTTATTTATTTTTTCGTTATAATTTTTGGATGTGAGCCAGTACAGCAAGTTTCACAAAAATATTCTCTTCACTTATTTATACTTTTGGCATATAAAATTGTTTTGGTGCATCTGAGATGGCTGTGCGTACGTATATACAGTGAAAACAACCGGTTGATGGTGATATGATTCGGATCATTAATTTTTAATAAACGAAGTTTAGTACGGCTTTCAATTAGCACATGTCATAGGTGCAGCAGGCCCAGCGCTTGTCAGACCACTGGCGTTGGTCCAGCCCGGCGGTTGCGTAAGCGTATTTCATTACGTGAGGAAGGGAACATAAAAGGCGAAAAAACGTGGCCAGCGACTCGATTAAACTAGGCAACATTGATCTTTTTACCGAAACCCATTTGTAAGGCCGCTTACAACTTATGATGAAGTTATCAGCCAGCGCGCAGCTTTGATGCAACCAACTTATTATCGCATTTAGCGTACTCGAAATTCGTATGCACAGTAAAAAATAATACTAATAATAGCACTAACTAATTCTGAAAAATCAATAAGTTGAATTTTATGACAAATTTTACCAGCTTGTTAAGTAAGGTGGCACGAGACAACGAACCCTATCGAATCCTGCAGATCTGTCGTTAATCGATATAATTAGGTTTGCGTATGGAAGAGTGAATAAACATATGCTGTACAGAAACTTCCGTTCCTGCACGGCTTGTCAAAATTTTAGACACATTTTTCATAGATTTGTGTAAAATTCATGGTTCAGAAGGAATAGCCATATAGATAGAAGTAATGTTTATGAATTCTGAAATTTTAGCCGTAATAACCAGCATAGACTGCTACTGTGCCGCCTCCTGAAAAATGAGAACATTTGCGGATGCAGCTATAGATATATGTATATATATACATAAAACATAGATACATATATATATATTTGCATCTGATAGCTACTCTGTTTTGTGGTCGTACGAAATACGCATGGGCCAACTAAGCATTAAAACATAGCCCACGATATATATATATATATAGATATAATAACATCTACCTACCTAGATCTTACCGTAAAGGGTTGTTTTATCGTATGGAGGAGTATTAATTAACTGGGCTTTACTTTAGTAAACTTATAATCCAAGATGGACTTTGCCTAGCAAAGTTATTAAGTCACACTTCCTTTCGCTGTACAACCGGCCATTGCATTAATGCAATCTCATATATACATTTAGTGGTACCTTGTTCATATGTGTTTTCAATTAATTTATTATTAATCTAAATCCCAATCGTAGTGTTTGACATAATTGTATCAAAGATTTAGATATTTTTTTTTCCAGAACTAGCAGAGCTATTAGTTTTAACTATTCTCTTCTACCTTGCTTTAATTTAACCAGTGCTCACACGACAATAATGGAACGTCAGGTTCGAACTTCCGCAAAGACAAACGCTCCCTTCTAAGATAGGTAGAACTTCAACGGTTCAAGGCAATCTTTCAACTTATATGTACTCTCTCTACTGTTCGATTTTTCTTTTTAGTTTACTTAATCCATTTAGCATTCCATCACACGGCTGGATGAAGAAAATCGGCAGTCAATGACCGGATTCGAACCTAAACCACAACCGTCCCTACGACTATCAACCAGACTCGTTACCCACCAAGCTATCACAGGGATATTAGAAATCTACTCAGCTATAGTATGCTCCCAACAACACGTTTTGTTTCAATTTCACATATGTATGTAGTTAGGAATCAGCTGAGCAGTAGCGGAAAGCTGATCACTGTTCCGACACGGCCCATGCATGCACATGGACGATAGTCGCGGAAAGCACCATCAGAAATAACCAAAGATTAACAGCCCACCTCGCAATGATTTCGCTTGATCCATTTCCAAATACTTAGCCCCATGTTTGAGCACTTCTTGGCTTCTTCGTTCGCAAAGATCGTGCTCGCCATTTGTTGTCTACGGTATCGCACATTACTATGCAATTGAAATGAAGTAAGTTGCGCGAATCAGTTCTGCATGTACAGTATATGCAATATTATGTGACTTTACCTTTTGCATAATACACATACAAACACTTAGTAATCATGTATGCCGTAAAATTTTGCTCGAACCTATACGTGGGAGAAAGCGTTGTTCACTGTTATGTAGCGGAAATACAGATCTAGATCCAGATGGTCAGGTAAGCAGTGTTTTCGAATACTTATATTTCTATCGTTTTTTTTTCTTACTTCACTGCATCACTCACTTAAGCGCACAAACACAAAGACATGTAAACCCACTGTATGATCAATTGCACGTAAAAACGAGCCTGCGAAACGTTTGTGTAGGTCCGGCCTGGCCTAGCAACCCGATTCTCCAGTCGTAGGAAGTTTTTCAGATATCTTACAAAGGGCCTCTTACATCCTCTTCAGCGGGTTCCCTTGACTAGCGGAAAAACCAGTTGAACGCAACCAGTAGGAGCCTGACGTGGCTGTTGACTGGGGTCGGTTCGCTCTGCAGTCCGGTCATCAGCCGATCACAGACGACAACACAGGGCGCACCGTTATCATCTAGCTGCAACTCTAGCGGCTAAGAAGACCAGACAATCCCGTCTTTATTTCCTTCACTATGTTGAGCTTAACACTATTACGACCAAGCTGAAGAAGCTAGACAAGCATCGGAACACGTGAAGACTAAATAGGACCTAGGAACGCTTCTTAGACGAAGTGCCACCGAAGCAAAATTTAGCATAGAAAAGATTCGAGCCGATTCACAACCATCCTTCTGCTCCGCTCGACGTAGCCGGGAGGGTCCGGAGCGCGAGAAGACTATGTTATAGAAGACACAGATATAGAGCGACAGTCGTGTGTTACGCAGACATGCGCAGGAAATATGTCGCTTATGTTGATATGAAATTATTACTTCAATACACACAGTATTCTTAAAGAACAGATAACGTTAAGTAACAACTATACAAGCACTTGGAAACATGCACAAAGTAGCGCCTGTGATATTCCGGCAGTACGGTTTTTAAACATCACGAACAAGAATCAATGGATAAACTATCTAAAGTCTCTGAACCGAAAGCAACGGATATCGATCGATTTTAAATTTATCTAGTTGTCTCGTCGAAAAGCAATTTATCGAGGCCGGACTTTCCACTTTAATAGTCTGTCAGCAGTACTTTGAAAACGCATAGGAAAAAACGACCACTTTTATACGACCTTAGTCAAAAGCATGAAAAAGTGTGAAAGTGAGAATCATTTCAATAATGCAACGATATATTTGAATTTTCATTACGTGTCCTGTTCTACTTTTTAGGCCCTATACTCTTTCCTGTTCTACTTATCGAATCCTCGGCTGAGCCCTGTCAAACAATAACGATTCCTGCATCCGTACGAAAAACATTTCGATTTAGTTGACGTCGCCGACAGTGCAAACAATTAACTCGAAAGATTAGAAAAAAAAAAAAAGAAAATTTTGCTTTGGCAAGCAATTATCTGTGTAAGGTACACGCAGCGTGATGAGTTTTATTAATATAATTGGAATTGATTTAGGCACGCTCACAGGATTAGCGTCTTAGGACAAATTCCCTGTTAGCTAGTTTGACCGGTCTTCGTCCAAAGCATTTAGTATGAATCAGGAATAGTTCCCTGGTTCGTGCTACGAACCACACGTATGTATAGGCAGTCATTTTCACATGTGGGCATAAGTTGTAGAAGCCACGCTGTGCATTCATCAGTAGACGAGCTAGAATGCCGTACGTCAGTAGTTCGCTTCGCTTTCAAAAGACGTCGATACAACGTTAGTAAATTGTCTGATTCTAGTAATTGCCGTGACGCAGAATCCCGATTCGGGTTGTAACGTTGCACGATGAAAACAAAAAGTGTTGCCAAATTAGTAGCGTTCCGGAGGCACCGAGATATTTCTATTAGTTCTATTGCGTTCTGGACGATCCTCCCTTCTCCCGCATTGACCCATTTACGTCAGCCACGGACTTCTTACGGAAAGAAGCGCAGCACCGCACACCGACACACAGATCGTTTCGACTGACGTCGAAGGTATACACGAGTGTTTCGAACCAAATAGTACAGTTCTTCAAAGAAGGCTGCGTACCAGCTCATGAGATCGCTTCTTCTGCCAGCATTTGGTTCAGCTTCGCGCACAGTCGTTACTAGCCATAAAGATATTCAACATGGTATGATTCGCCCGGACACGGAGCTGGAAGCACGGGAGCGGTACCAGCAAGCAGCCATGGATCGCCGGTTTGGCGCTTCATATATTCTCTATTTATAGTTGTTATCTAGAGTTTCGCTGAATGCCGCCATTTTGATTTTGGTATGTAAAAAATCGACGACAATCAGATATGTTTAATAGGCCCAAGTGAAGCAACTATATAAATATACTGGTGGTAATACGCATTATCATATAACAATATGCGTGCATTTTGCACGGAAGCCAGATGCGGATTAATTTCCTAACATGCAGCAGAACATCAGCTTGATAAAGGAAATTTTGAGATACGTATTGAAACTTACAAGCGAAGGCCTAAACACACGCTTAAGTATCACGATACATGCCACATATATCAGTATGAGTATTGAAATGGATATTCTAAAGTGCTACACAATTATTTTAGGATAGATTGTTCAGATCACTTAATTAAATCAGTTAGATATATAGACATTAAGATATATCTTGTATCATTCGTCCTAATAGGCTTTAAGAGGCAGCCTTCGCAGCGCGAAAAAACTAGCGCGATCTACTAGGTATTCCTCTACTAGAATAGCTTGAACGAGTGTACAGGACCGCGTATCTGTTAGATATGTTGGGGGATTTTTGAAGAGATCTGATTGATCCGGAACAGCTGAAAATATAGCTCTCTCCACTACAGCCTGATAAACCGTTTGTACTGTTGCCTGGTAGAGCGATGCTAAAAATCAGTATCCAGACTTGTCAACTGCGAGTCGGCTATAGAAGTATTAGCCAATTACCATATATATCAGCCATAAGTAAACCAATATTTTATCTAAATTTATATAAAGATTAAGATATGTTTGCTAGGACCTTCCGATTTGTGGGTGACTGCTATTAATTGCTGACGATTGTGTGCGTGCTTTCAACCTCTTTACAGATTTTAATCATTTTGAATAGTTGAATTTATTAATATTTGAAGTAATTTCTAATATTACAGGCTGAAAGTAGAAGCAAAGCATGACGCTTTCCTTTTCGTTGTATTTCATAGGGTTGCCTCAGTGTACGAATATTTAATTTGTATTTCCTTTCGATTTATTCTGCTACAGGTAGAGATTAACAGATAAGAAATAAAATTACGTCGACGTAACCTCACTGCAGTGTGGGCTTCAAATCTAGTGTTGCCGCATTCCCGAATAAGGTGCCAATTTTTGCTATTAATTAACCTCTAAATCGCTATAATCGTATTATATTCTTTACGAACACCATATTTGTGCGCCAGCATTGTGCCAGATCTTCGAGGAAGCACAAGGCTTTTCCGTCATTAAAATATGTGCCTTCTACGCCTTTTTAATAACATATAGTAATATGCTTTGGACATTTTCTTATTGCCTCTCACCTAACCACACTTTATTTTCTCTAATTTCAATTTAATTTATACACATGAGACTGGCGATGCTTGTAAATCTGATGTCTGAAACAGTGAAGAATGAACGATACAAGGCGAAATAGATGTCCTACCTAACTAACCTTACGCTGGATAAGTGCGCAGTAATGTAAAAGCGCTCGAACATGTCCGCAGCATGAGGCGCGGGGTATACGGGGCAGATTGGGCAACGAGTTGGCATTTACCACAATATGGTTCACAGAAATTGAACGACTGAGGGAAACAGTGAGTGATTCCTACTTAGTATAAGATAGCATCGTTTACTAAGATTTGTATAAATACTTGTGTAATCATATATGAAGTAGCTGCGCCTTTCTTTTTTTTATGTTTACGTTCCAGTCTCTCACAGTATTTTCATGCTGACAAGGTGAAACAGAACGAGAGGTTCCGTGGCCATTATGTCACAGCTTGAAACTTTCTTTGATCAGGTGCGTGGTACCAACAGTATCGAACAACAACAACAACAACAAATCTTAACGGCGCCGGCGGCGGGCTAACTGTCCATTACAACCAGGTACTACTCGATAGCCGTGGCGTCTCACCGTAGTGGACAAGATATTCAATCGTAGGGCGCTCCACCCTTGCAGTAACACAGTAAGGCGAAGAGAACAATCCACGGTTCTGAGATCGAAGCTATCCGCAGTACTTTCGACTTTTTTTTTTTTGGCAACTTTCACACTTTGGCAACTTTGTGAACTAAAATTAGTTACTAAATATTTAGTTTTTGTTATTGTTGCAATAGTTCGTATGTTCAATTCAAAGGTTCGGTTGACAAATAGCTTTTGCATGTACATAATATATTTTATTTCAAGCAATACGGTATTACGGTGACACCCAATGTAACCGGGCGAGACGACACTTCGTTTCGTACTGTGGGGCCGGTTATGTGAGGCATTGATTAACTGCAATACTGAAGTCGAAAACTCAAAATGGTTGCTTCAGCGTAATTTCATCACCAGTTGGTTAAGATCGATGTTTTCCTAGCGCATACCCTATGTTTCATCCGCAACATAAACTAGTTAACGTTTAGCAGTAATTAAGCCATGATTGAATGGTATATCGGGTGAGTTCTCATTTAGTTACCTCGCTAGTTACTATCGTTCGGGACGCGTGGCTATCTAGTTTCTGTTGCTTTTGGACCTGATATTTCTCAAATGGATGCTATTGCCAGAATCTATAATTCGAAATTTCCTGCACCCTCGTCTCCACTCTGCTATTTCGCCTCGTCTCCCTAAAGCTTATCGATCAGTCCAGGTAGCTCTTTAGATCTATTGTGCCTTAACGCAAACTTAGCGTAAAATTAATTGTGCGCCCGTTATAAACTTCAAATTTATAGGTCTAGCAAACTTAAGTATCGCTGAAGGTCTAGAAGAGCGTCTGTTATGGACCACCGTTTGACTTTGACAAGTGAACTCTGAGAGCAGTTGCCAAAATACAGCTCTAGGTTCTGTGTGTGCGATTCAACCTGGACAAGGTCGGATAACGACGTAAATAGCGGGTGTCCTCATCGGAGTGACCTGTTAACATAAACCAACATAGTGTAACCTAATGAAAGCAAATTTGCATTTTTTTATTGCTGTAGCCTATTAAACGGCAGGACTTAAGCGGCGCTCTAGC